ATTCCAAAAATAAATAAGATGAAAAATGTATTCGATCTCTGAAGAAAACTTAATAAAATCCAGTTGAAAACATCGTTTAAATATTCATCACAGAAAGTCTAACGAAACTCGTACCTTATCAATCAATGTCCACAGGAGCGAACAGTACTTAATTATTCCTTATAAAAAATTGATGATCCTTAACTGGGTAGACGGCTGCAGTTCGGGGTAATGTGAAATTTAGTTTAATCACCATTTAAGGAATCACGGTGACTAAACTGTTTCACAACGGCGCACGAAATTCCTTAATCATTTAACCGCAATCCTTGAGTATACTCGAGCGCGGGTAGCAGTGTCGTTTCAGATGCTCCAGTTATAGAGAAGGTATATAAACTTATCGACTTTTGTCGCCAATTCTGCAAGATCAATCGTACACTTGTTTTTCTTTTATATGAACTTATTAAAAAATAACTTTCAACTAAATTCGTCAACAGAGATTCATACTATCGATTAGTTCAGCTGAAATTGAAATCGTTTATTTATAATATTTTTAAGTTTACGCAAACTATATACACGCGATCAGTTCAGCTGTGTTAAGATTAATCGTTCTCGATCGATCGGATATACCTCGAAACATCGAAGATTATCCAATTATTTCGAATTTTTCTGGCGATGTAACGATCCATTAAAATCTTATAAATCATGGAAAAACGTAAACATTGTAATACAATACGAGCGAGCCTTTCATCGCGAGGCCGCGATACGGCGGATAGGAATCGTTAATCGGAAAGTTTAATGGCTCATAGCTATGGATAAGAGGAATTTACTCGATGTATCTCGGGTAATACCCGTGCCCTAGCTTTACGTGGTGCAGTCGAGTAATAGCTGCCGACATCATGGGACCGTTCCAGGTGTGTAAGTACCTTGACTGCTACTTCAATCACTATATATGATTGGTCATCGAAATGAGAGCATCTAAATATTTCCGTTGATTATAGACGCCATGTAACGCTGTATGGTACAAATTAAACTGTCCCGAGGGATAAAAATACCGATATAGAGACCATTTCTCCATATTCTTGGGTATAATCCTTCTATATGTAATCTTATAATTCTCTATAATTGGATCAATATTTACTACCCGCAAAGTAGTTCAAGTCTTCTATACCTTGCGTTTTGTGAACTATTTAACCGCGTTGTTAACAATTCATACATGGTTAAGACATTTGTGGTTAAAACGTCTACAGACGTCTGCTAATTCATGTAATAGCGACAGAGTGTCTAATGACGTCACGAACGTTTAGACGTCGAAGATGGGTTGTGGTTTTTATTAGCACGTAAGGCAGTTAGAACCTTCGGTATCGCAGCACATAGACGCACTGGCTTCGCGGAATTGATCACAATCCGACATGGAACTTTCTCGGAATGTAATATTTGATATGCATTAGATTACATACGTCTAACTGGAGTCTTGTGTACGCGAGTCTATTAAACAACGAGGGTATATAATTGATGTTTACCCACTTAAACGGGTTTGTATGGCATGCGCGATACTCTTTTTCTCTAAATTGTGCCATGAGAACTAATTCTAGGAAAGTGGTGCTGGAGTACTCTCAGTGGTCAATATCAAGGACACCTTTTGCAACTACGTACTATGGAAAGCAAGGGACGATAGAAAATTAGAAATAATCGATCAAATTCACTGCCGGGATACTGAAAACATCTCACAATTAAAAAATGCTAGCTATGTCCCGCGGTTTCACCCCCGTGGAATACTATTCTTATTCAAAGTCTTTATTCAAAGATTTTCTTTTTATTTATATATTATACAGCGTGAATTTGAGCCAAATAAATAAGAATTTTCGAAAAAAGGGACCCCAGCACCACCTAGGGGGGTCTAACACAAACAAAAACAATCTGCAGCACGAACATGTGGAGCGAATATAAGGTTGATAGCTTCAGTGGATTCAGCCGTGATGGCCAGACACACGCACCAACGTTTTAATCTTTTCGGTG